GACAGGTAGCTAGACATCTGGATGGTTATTTTATTGTCAAGGACAGGGAAGCAGAGGGCACTGAGCAGACTGCACTCAGTTGGAATGGGTGGCCTGCAAGTCGTAGTGCTCCAGCCCGGCCACCAGGGAGCCAGCCAGCTTGATGGTGGCAACCCAGGGTGGCTCGCTCAGGTGGTTGGTGGGCGTGCTCAGCCTAGGGGGAGGGTAGAATCAGCAGGGCCTGGCCATGTGGTGGAGCCCTTGCCCCTCCTAGGTTCACTTGCCCCATCTGTATGAGGGGCCATGTATCACAAAGGCAGTCTAGGGCAGGGTTGTATCCACTTAAATTTAGGAAAGCGGGCTAAGGATTGGTGATATTGTCTGTGTCTCTACTCCCCTCCCCACCACCTGGCCCATCCCTACTGAACCCTCAAGGGGTCCAGAGCAGAGGGTCTCTTGGTGATTCAGGATCTTTGGGAGCCAAGGTCAGATAAACCCTGGTGACCAGATTCCGAGATTCAGTGTGTGTGTGTGTGTGTGTGTGTGTGTGTGTGTAGGGGGAGAGTGTAACAAAGATACATTATCTTTCTGGAGCTGAGGACTCCGGTATAGCCTCCGCAGCATGGGGATGGGACATCTGTGCCCTCTGGCTGCAAAAGCCTTGGAACCCAGAGTCAGGAGAAGTTCCTAAAGGCTGGAGGGGTCAGAAGTGTGAGGGCCTAGGCCAGGGACTTCTTTGGAGGTATGCATTCATATCCTCTGCTCCTATCCCTAAAAAGCTTGGGACATGGTCCTTCTTGGTACCCTGAGGGACAGGGTTAGGCTATGTATGGCATCAGTCCAGCTGGCACCAGCTTCCCTCCCTGACGGCTCCAGAAGATCACAGGGCCAAGAGTCAGCTTGGAGATCTGTGTACCAAGAGGCTGGACCAAGGCGTACACTGTCCCTGGTCAGGGGTCAGTATGGTGTCAAGTTTTCTCTTGGTGCTGAAGGATTGGAGCTCAGCTGGGTTTGAGATACAGCCAAGGAAAGGGTCAGGGGTCAGCTGGCGTCTAGACTCCAGAGGGGTGAATGGGACTCTATCCGGGAAGGTCGGGTTCAGGACTTCAAGGGGTATACCCTTCCCTCCCTACTACCCAATGACCTTCCCTCACCAGGCAGACACGTTTCGTGGTAGACGGCGATGACGCGGCTGGTGGCGGCAGTAACACTTGCAGGGACAGGAGTTAAGCACCTGGAAGGGCGGCCAGTGGCGTGTGGTGCCCGCGTTAGCCATCCCTGCTGGAGGGGTCCCGCCGCCACCACCACCCCTTCCACCGCCACTCTCAGTCACGGTAGCTGCAGTACGTTCGCGAGGACCATCTCCCGGGGCGCCATCCTCACGGGTCGCGCCTCGGGCTGCGCGGGCACCCTTGCTCCTTCGCGTGCGGGCCTTGATGGGCGCAGGCGCAGGCAGCGTTGGCTCCATGGTGGGAGCTGGAGCCGGGGATGGGGCGGGGGCCGAAGCGGGAGCGGGAGCCAGAGCGGGGGCTGATGCCAGAGCCGGAGCCGGAGCCGGGGCTGGAGCCAGGGCTGGGGCCGGGGCCGGGGCAGGGGCCGGGACTGGGGCCGGGGCTGGCGTCGGCGCTGGAGCAGGAGCCGGGGCCGGAGCTGGGGCCGGGACCGGGGCTGGGGTCGGGGCCGGGGCCGGGGCGGGGGTCCGGGTGGGGGCCTGGTCAGCAGCCAAGGCGAGGGGCAGAGTGGGAGCCGGGGAGGGAGCCAAAGCCAACTCCAAGTGGCCTGGGCGTGGAGTGGGAGGGCGGGCTACGGGCAGCCGCGTTGGCAGGAGCACCGGCGGCTGCGGTGTCAGCAGCGGCGCGGGAGGCGGCGTGGGTGGTGGCGTGGGCGGCGGCGGTGGCGGCACCTCCTGTGGGCCTCCCGGCCGGGTGCTCACAGGCTCACCATTGGTGGGCGCCGGGAAGATGAACATAGGCGGCGCCAGCAGGGCTGGTGCAGGCCTCCGGGGCCCGGGGGTTGGGTGCATCTGCCCGGGCGGAGGCGGTGGGGACCCCCAGGGCCCTGAGAGCGCTGCAGCGCGCCGTCTGGGCACCCCGACACCGCCGCCGGCTCCGTTGAAACGGAAGTGGCGTTCAGGGCCATCCGGAGGGCTCACCCAGTCAAATTTGGGCTTCGAGCCTGGAAAGGTGGTATAGGGTGGCGGCGGAAGGGTCCTGGCGTGGGACACAGGCGCCGAGGGGGTTCCAGAACACTCCTCGCCGTCTCCATCACCGTCTTCTGCTTCCTGAGTCCCCCGAGGGACCTCTCCTGAGGGTCGAGCGACCCCAGGAGCCAGGGGCCCCTGCTTCAGGACCTCAGCGTAAGAGATGGAACCCGAGGCGGCAGCGAAGAGCCCTCCGCCTCCTCCACTACCCCCGAGCGAGGCTTTGGGTGCTAAGGAACTCGAGGCTGCCGCAGGGGCCAGAGTGGGCCCCGACTTGAAGGTGACTTTACATAGCAAACTGAGGCCGGATTCAGAGACCGCAGGCCGGGCCATTTCTCCCTCGCCCGCTTGGGGAGGCGCCCCTCTGCGAGCTCCAACCGCCGTCTGGCCCTCGCTGCGGTACCCGACCTGACTTTCTGTCGGGGGTGTGGCGGGTGTGGCCAGAGCAGGAATGATTCTGTGGTCCGGGAGCTGCCGGTCGGAAGGTGGCGGTGGTGGCAGCTTCCGCGGCTCCAAGGGCAATGGAGTAGGGGATGGGGCCCTCGGGACAGACTTGGGGTCCTCTCCAGTTAGTTGCCGGGGCGGCGGAGGCAGCGGACGGAGGCTCGGAGGATCGCCCTGGCCGCGATGGCTCGCCTCCAGCAGACCGCGCATCCGGGGCACTGGAGTGCCCGTGGGTTTTCGCCACTTAGACGGCGCGGGCAGCAGGGTCCCCACGGGGGGCGGGGGTGGTGTAGAGACCGCGGCCGCAGCCGCCTCCTCTGAAAGGGGCGTCACTGGCGAGGGCAGTTGTAAGGTCAGGGGCGAGGGTGAGGCCTGGGGCTCCGGGGGTAGCAGGATTCCCGGGGGCGCGGAGCTGCCAGGGAACCAGACACCCAGCCCGCGGGCCAGGCGCATCGCCGGGGAGGAGGGTGTCACCTCGGGCTCCACCAGGGATGTCCGGCGGGACTCAGAGGAGCGGTCGGAGGCCTGTTCTTTTCGGGAGCCCCCGCCCGCGGACGGCTCCGACTGCACGTTCCCCATTTCTGACGGAGGTCGGGGACTGTGGTCAGAAAAACTTACGCTTGTCAGTCTGCTAAAACTGTGGGGACTCCACGATGCTGGCTGTGTCTGGTCCTACCTGTCCACCCCAGACCGGCCCCTATGTTCCAAGGTCCTCTCAGGCACCAGTCGCTAGCCGCATTCCTGTTCCCTGACTCTCGAAGCTCAATCGTTCTTCCCCATTGCCCCATTCAGCTACTGTCATGCCTTCTTCCTCATGACCCCATTCAGTTGCTGTTCAGACACTTAAGCTCCATTCTCTTAGTGTACTAAGGTTCTGTCCCTGTCTCCCCATCCCGGCTTGTCCCTCAGGTCACATCCCTACACTTTGACCATATATCCCCGGTCTCTAGGCTCCAAGCTGCAGGTCGTGCCCGCTTTCCTGTCCGTCACTCAGGCCACATCACTCATGATGATTGTGCTCAGTAGCCTGTAAGGCCTGCAAGGAGTTCAAACTTCTCTCCCAGTCTTCTAACCTGGCTCGGAGGCCCAGGCCCCGCCCCTGCTCTCTGGTCCCGCCCCTGATCGTCAGTATCTGCCCTCATCACCGGCCCCAGGTCTGGCCACTCCTCCGCAGTATTCTAGTCTTGCTAACCCCCTAGTCCTCACCTCTAACCCTCCGATCCTTCTCTCAGAGTCGATCATTTGCGTCTCGCCCTCTTCGCAGGCGACGGCAAATCTTCGGGCCTCGCTCCTAAACTTTTCCTGCTCCTGGTCTACCAGCCGGCTTCAACACTCAGGCCCCACCCCTTTCTCCAACTCCGCCCTGGCCCCGCCTTCGCCCAGAGGTTCCCACTCACCGACTCCTCCAGCCGACCAAAGTTCAGACCGCGGCCCCCTGGGCCCAGGGCAGGGCGGGGAACGGCCGTAGCAGAAAATAACCGAAAAGAACGGGAGTGAAGCGGTAGATGGCAAGTGGGCGAGACAGCGAGGGCGGACCCCGAGATCTAGGCCCCGCCCCCGGGCTCGAGGCCCCGCCCTCCCGTGAGACAGTTGCAGGCCGGCCCCTCACGAACCTGGATCTCCCTTTGAAATATTCCGACGTCTTCTTCCCCGCCCCCAGACCTTGCAGTCCTAGGCCACACCCCTTTAGAGTATAATCCTTAGCCCCTCCTCTTTAAAATGCTCCGCCCCCGTCGTTAGTCCCTCCCTCGAAGCTCCGCCCATTACGAACACTGCCACGGAACTTCTCCCTTTCAGCGCTCTCGTGGGCCCCGCCCATAAGACAGTTTACCTCTAAACTCCACCCTTCAGGACCCCACAACATCTCTTCCAAAGACCCTCACTTTCTTTGGGCCTGCCTAGAAGGCCCATCCACTGCGGAGCCGCCCCTTCCATGACGCAAGCGCTTGTACGCGCCCTCGGCGTCCTCACCGACTCTCCTTTCCAAGGCCCTCCGACCCCGCCCCCTTGCGAATGCTCCCATCTCGCCCCACCCCTTTTCGAACTCTACCAGGTACTCAGCTCCTCCCATTTAGAACCCAAAGCAAAGACCCTCACCTCTTTAGAACCCTGAGACCCGGCCATGTCCCGGACCTTTCACCACATCCTCAGGGATCAGTGGCTCGAATAGGTGGGAAAGTGGGGGATCTTTTCTGGGTACTGAGAAAATGGGGGCTGGGGGCCTGTTCTCTGTAGACAGTGGCGGGCTCTAGGACCCAGCGGGCAAGTACGCCGCCTCGCGCTTACCCCTCCCCCAAGCCGCCCCCTCCCCCTCACCCATCTTCCAGGTTCCCCCTCCCTCCCCCGTCGCCCCGGCTCCCGGTTCCCGTCTCTAGCGCCGCTGGAGCCAGCGAGGGAGCCGGAGCGAACAGGAGGAGGAGGAGGAGGAGGCCAAGTCGCCGCCGCTCGGAGCCCGGCCGGAGCCTCCCAGGCAGGTGCCAAAGGGGGGGCGAGGGGGCGGGGGCTGACAGACTGCCTGTCTTGGTGAGGGGGCGGCCTGGACCGCGCTGCGCCTCCTGCCCACCGGGGCGCCCCCCCGGACCGCGGCTGGAGGGACAAGGGGGTGGGGGCCCCCAAACTGCGCGGCAGCCATTTGGGGTACCAGTCTCCATTTGGGGGCCTGGACTTCTGCGAGGACGCCCCATTCATAAAATTCCGAACTGGACCCCCACCACTGAGGAACTCTGGGGACCACTCCCCCAGGGAAACAGATGTATGGAGAGCATAGGGCATTCAGAAATCCCGGCGTCCCATCCCAGCTAGGCCCTGGGGGACCCCTGCCCTCTTTCTCTGCTTCACCTGTTGTCGGGGGAGGCGGGCGGACAAAGGAAGCAGCATCACGTGACTGCTCATTCACAAAATCCCATCCCATTGAGAAAAGGGGGCTGGGGGCGCTGCGACCGCCCCTTCCCCTCCCAAAGGGCCGGGGAAAACCGACAGCCTGCAGGTGGGGGAAGGGGCTAGAGCTCGTTGCCTGGGTCCCTAAGGTTGAGACGCCAGGGTCCCTGCGCTATGTGGTAGTGAGGGGCTGGACGCTGATCCCGATTACTGGGCGGAGGGCTACGTCCCCTGAGCTGGGGGGCGGGGTAAGAAGGTTCTGAAGGATGCTGGGGCGGGGGGGGGGAGGAGGAGGGATCAATTCTTCACCTCCCCTCAATCTCTCCCCCTTGCCTTCCTTCGGCTGGGACCTGAGGGAGCAGGCTTGATTTTTGTGAATGAAACGCACTCTGGTTGTGTCTCGGTCGCCCGTTCTCGGTCGCCCGTTCCTGGCTTCTTCTGCCTCCATCTCCCTTTCGGCCTCTCTCTGGCCATTTCTGGTTCTCTCGCTTCTCCCTGCCCATCTCCCGTTGCTGGGTGACTCAGTGAGCTTTGCATCCGGTCTCATTCATAAATCCGGGAAGGGGTGGGGGGGGAAGAGAGCCTGGGTTTCTCACCCAGCCAGTGGCCTGGGCGGCAGAGTGTGGAGACAGTGTAGGGGGGATCTGGAGCTGAGTTGATGGGCTCTAAGAAAATACATATGCGCAGGCACCCAGCTGTGAGGGGGAACGATGGGTGGGGCTGTGGGAATGTGCTGAGGGATGAGAAGGAGACTGGGTTGATAGGGGAAGAGCTGGAGGGGGAAGGGAAGTGGAAAACTGAGGCTATGGGGGTCAGGATGGGAACGATGGGGAAACAGATGAAGGTGGGTATGGAGAGGACAGGTAGATGTGGAGAAGATGAGCATAGGAGAAAAGAGATGGCATGAGGAAGAAAGAAGCCATGCTGGAAGAAGGTGGGCATGGGGAGGAGAAGGCAGGCATGTCAGAGAAAGTGAGAATCATTGCCTGCGAGTGTAGTGGATCCAGACCTGAGGGATGAAGATGGGGGATGAGGGTGGGGGATGAGGGTTGGGGGAACGCTGAATGGGAGAACAGCACTGCAGCACACTGACTGTATTGTACCCATTTCCCCACCCCCTCCAGGTACATGGTTCAGGTCCGAGCCGTGGTGATGGCCCGAGATGACTCCAGTGGGGGCTGGCTGCCTGTGGGGGGCGGGGGCCTCAGCCAGGTGAGCGTTTGTCGGGTCCGAGGGGCCAGGCCCGAGGGGGGGGGCCCGCCAGGGGCACTACGTCATCCACGGGGAGCGCCTTCGGGACCAGAAAGTGAGCCACCCTGGGGCGTGGGGGTAGGGTGGGGTGTGGGGGAAGTAAGGGGATGGGTCTGGGAGTGCAGAGATGAGGTCAGGTCATCTCCCAGCCCAGAATCAAGCCGGGGTGTGGGACGTAGTTTGGAACCAAATATCTGTCTGATGGAGAACAATTGGGCGTTCTGAGAATATCTGGGGGTATCAAGCAGGGCCTGTCCACTGCCATTGTCCAAAGGGCCATCAGGGCAGCCTCCTCCCTGGTCTTGCCCTGCTCCTGCTCCATCCCCCAACCTCAGTCTGTTCTGCAGGGGCCCTGCTAACACCTGACTCAGAACATGTCCTTCCCTCTGCTCAGAACCCTCCGGTGGCTCCATCTTGCTCAGAGATCCTTACCAGGAGGCCCTACACCACCAGCCCCTGTCTGCTCTAAGTATATGGAGGCATTTGGTGGGGGACCATCTGGATGGGTCAGATAGGGTTTACAATCCTATATGTGGGTTCAGCAGGAATATTCTGGGCTGCCTGGCATGATTTGGAAGGACAGTGTTGACGTTTCAGCTGGGGGTGTGGTAGAAAGACTTGGATTATTTGAAAAGGCTTGGGGGACGGCTTGCATTTCAGAGCAGGGGTCGGAAGGAACAATGTAGGGGGATTTGAACTGGTGTGAAGGAATATGGTGATGTTGGGCAAGGATGTGAGGAAACACCTAGGGTGTTGACCAGCGTCCAAGGGGAAAGCTATGGGAGTTGATAAGAATTTTGAGGTAGCATTTTGGGAGATTGTTGGGGCATCAGAAGGAGATTAATGGTAATATTCTGCGCTGTTCAGTAAAGTTCAGGGAGTATTACTGAGTCAGAAGGAGGGACATTGGGTTATCAGAAGGGGGTATGAGGAAAATATAGGGTTCAAGGGACTTGGTGGGAAATATTGGGATATCAGAGGTGTGCTCAATAAAATTGGGAAGTGGTGTTGGGTTGTTGATCAGGGTTCAGGGGTACACCTAGGATTGACAAATGAAGTTTGTGGGATGCTGAGGTATGCAGCTAGGCAGAGGGGTGAGAGGAAGTCACAGGCATGGCTGGAAGGGGGCTGCTGACCTGACCCCCTCTTACCACCCCTCAGACCACCTTGGAGTGTACCCTGAGGCCAGGCTTGGTTTACAACAAAGTGAACCCCATCTTCCATCACTGGAGCCTGGGTGACTGCAAGTTTGGACTGACGTTCCAGAGTCCCGCGGAGGCTGATGAGTTCCAGAAGAGCCTGCTGGCTGCGCTGGCTGCGCTGGGTCGAGGTGAGTGGCACAGGCAGTGGGTGCTGGAGGATATGGCGGGACTGTGGGAGAAGCTGGGACCCAGGGAACTCACTATCTGCCTCTCTTCCTGCCCCAGGCTCGCTTACCCCCTCTTCCTCCTCCTCTTCCTCCTCCCCTTCCCAGGACACAGCAGAGACCCCCTGCCCTCTGACGGTGAGTCCAGGACACCACTCTGCTGGGAGGGCAGGGGATTATTTCTATTCTCCAAACATTCTTGAGCATCTCTTGTGTATCAGGCAGCATGCCACATGCTGGGGACTCAAATTTGGGCCCAAACTATTAATATCAGCGTAATGCCTGTTATCCTAGCTTTCCTATTCTGTTGTGGGTCACATATTCATTCAAGAGTATTTATTGAGCACCTGTAAATAAGTAGTGTTTTAGGCACTGGGGATACATCAGTGAACAAAACAAAGTCCCTTTCCTCATGGAGCTTCTATTCTAGTGTGGAAAGGCAGAAAATTTAAGAAAAAGATAAAAGAAAAAAAAGATAAGCCATATTTTTATAGTGAACAAATTAATGACAAGTTCATCCTCCCAGTTACTCAGGGTACCAACCTTGAAGTCATCGTTGACTTTTGTCCTTTTTTATGCTCTTCATCTAATCTCTCATCAAATATTGGCTTCGCCTTCAAAATGACTAGAATCTGCCTCCAGCCTGGTACTGTCCAACCTCATCTGCCAACCAGAGCATCTCGCCAGCCTCTTATTGTTAACTGTCCCCCTCCTATTTCCTACTGTCTAGAAATTCCTCACATGCAGCCAGAGGGACCCTATTGACATCTAAGATTGTGGCCATCCCTCCACTCAGAACCCTTTCAGGGGTCCATCTCACTCAGGGTAAAGGACAAAGCATATAAGATCCCAGGCCATTTAGCCCCCCTGTTCTCCCTTTTGCTCACTGTGCTCCAGCCACACTAGCCTCCTCACTGTTACTCCAACACGGCAGGTATGTTCCTGTCTCAAGGCCTTTGCACTGGCTGTTACTTCTGTCTTGGAATACTCTTCCCCAAATTTTCACATGCCTCATCCCCTTACTTCCTTCAGGGTTTTATACACATATCTCCTTCTTAGTGAGGCTCTTCCTCAGTAAGCTGTTCAAAATTGTGATGTCCCAATGCTTCCTATCCTGTTCTAATTTTTTCCCATCTTCTAAGATATTTTTCTTATTTCCTTCCTACAGACAGTTTTCTTTTTCTTTCTTTTTTTTTTTTTTTAAGACTTTATTTATTTGAGAGAGAGATAGCAAGAGAGAACATGGGGGGTGGCGGAGAAAGAGAGAAGCAAGCTCCTCGCACAGCAGGGAGCCCAACTAGAGGCTCAATCCCAGGACCTGGGGACCATGACCTAAGCCGGGGACCATGACCTGAGCCAAAGGCAGATGCTTAACTGCTTAATCGACTGAGCCACCCCAGTGCCCTAGTATAGACAGTTTCTTATCTGTTAGCTTATTGCTAGAATTCCAGCTCCAGGAGGGCAAAGGATCTTTTGTTGCTTTCTTGCTGCATGTCTGAGACCTAAAACAGTGCCTGGTATACAGTAAGTGTTCAGTAAATATGTGTCAAGTACATTTATTGAATGAATAAATGCACATAATGTCAGATGTGATTTGGCCTTTGCTGGGAACAAGTGGGAGTTGCTGAGACTTAGAAGAACAAAACTGGTTCCCTGGGCAGAAAAGTGGGAATCGCAGGGTGGAGGGAGAGGCAGATGGGGCCACAGAAATCTCGTGGACAGGTCCCATGTATTTGGTGCTTACTCAAGAAAGATGCTGGACTTCCCATGCTCCATCTTACATCCTTGCAATGGCCTTGTGTGAGCCTGGCATGCCGTAGGTGCTCAATGAATGTTTACTGAAGATACATGGATGAAGTCAGAATGATGACCCCCGCCCAAGCTACAGAAACTGAGGGTCTGAGAAGTGACATTTCCCTTTGTAAAGGACAGGTGGTTTGGCTGGGAAGGAACACCTTCCTGTTGGGTGGCAGGGAACCCAGTCAAGATCTGGGGATGGGAATGAGTCAGGAACGTGGCCGACTGGCCAAGGGAGAGGGGTTCTGAGAAGGGGAAAGATATTTGGTTGTTCCGTAGGTCAGCGAGCGAGCTGAGCAGATAAAGATGAAGGGGTCTTTGAGAACAGTGACCATTTCCAGCTCTTCCTGTTGTTTAGGCATGTGTTATGCCCTGTACAGTGGGTCCTAACCACATCCTTATGAATAGACACTATTATGATCCCCATTTTACAGAGAAGGAAACTGAGGCTCAAAGAGATGAGCTCACTTGCCGGAGGTCACACAACCAGTCAGTGGCAGAGCCGGGGCTTGCACCGAGGCCTGTCTGGCCGCAGCTCTCGCTTGCCATGGGAGGGGGTCTATGTGAGGGCATCAGCTGTGCCGGGGGTCCGGCTCTGAGGCCGCCACTCTCCCCCAGTCCCATGTGGACAGCGAGTCCTCCTCCAGTCACAGCCACCAGGAGACGCCTCCCACCGCCGCGGCGGCCACTATCATCACGGTGGAGTCAGCTTCTGGCTTCGGGCCAGCTACATCCCCCCAGCGCCGCCGCTCCTCCACTCAGGTGCGACCTCCTGCCTCCACTGGAAGTCTGGGGCTCGTGGGGGTGGGGAGGAAGTGGGGAAGGGTGCTGGGGTCCAGAGGTAGGTGGGCGCTGAGACCCCAGAAGGACAAGAGACTGCAGACAGATCCTCAGGGATGGTTGGCTTGAGTTCGTGGCAGTGATGGTGGAGAGGGTGCCTGGGGACTTAGGTTCCTTGGAGCGTCTGTGTGGGCTTTCTCTGTGTGTCCTGCGCTCTTGGAGATTTTGGAAAGTTCTGAGTTCTGAATCAGAGGGGCTTAGGGGGTGACTTAGACAATTCTTCGAGTATATTAGGGAGTTTTTCATACTTGCGGAAGGAGTTCTTTAGATTGGTTAATTCATTAGGTGGGGCATGGACTCCAAGGGGGCTAAGCTCCCTGGGGACTGGATTCCTGTGTCCTGAAGGACATGGCTGAGGTCCCAAGCTCCCGGATCTGGGAGTAGGGGGGGTCTGGGTGTTGGGACTTCCTGGGTCTTGAGAGAGGACAGGGCTGAGAGCCTGGATCACTGGGTCCTTAAGGTGTGGGCTTGGTGCCTGGATTCTTTGGTCTGTTCTTGGATTTGAGAGGATTGGGCTGGAGGCTTGGAAGTCTGAATGCCAGACCCAGACACTCAGGATCCCGGGGCAGCTTCCTAAGATGAATGAGGCCTGAAGGCTGGGTCTTTGGATTCTCAAGTCTTCTGAGACTGGGATGGATTGTGGTGGAGCGTGAGGGATCACAGACCCTGCTAACCTGTTCTATCCCTTCACCCCACAGAGCTACCCTCCGCTCCTACCGTTCACGGGGATTCCGGAGCCCTCAGAGCCCCTCACTGGGGCAGGGGGCCCGGGCTGGGGTGGCCGTGGCTATGAGGATTACCGGCGCGCCGGGCCGCCCGCACCCCTCGCCCTGTCCACCTGCGTCGTGCGCTTCGCCAAGACCGGCGCGTTGAGGGGCACAGCCCTGGGGCCCCCTGCCGCACTACCCGCCCCTCTCGCCGAGGCTGCGCCTCCAGCGCCCCCTGCTCGCCCACCCCCGGGTCCCGGCCCTGCCCCTGCGCCTGCCAAGGTTTCCCCCGAGGCGGAGGAGGCGGCGCGCTGCGTGCACTGCCGGGCGCTCTTCCGCCGCCGCGCGGATGGGCGTGGTGGTCGCTGCGCGGAAGCCCCGGACCCGGGTCGCCTGCTGGTGCGCCGGCTCAGTTGCCTGTGGTGCGCCGAGAGCTTGCTCTACCACTGCCTGTCGGACGCGGAGGGTGACTTCTCGGACCCGTGCGCCTGCGAGCCAGGCCACCCGCGTCCCGCGGCGCGCTGGGCCGCGCTGGCCGCGCTCTCCCTGGCTGTGCCCTGCCTCTGCTGCTATGCGCCCCTGCGCGCCTGCCACTGGGTCGCGGCGCGATGTGGCTGCGCAGGCTGCGGGGGTCGCCACGAGGAGGCGGCGCGGTGAGAACGGCCTGGTGGGTCCGGTAGCTGCACCAAGGACCCCAAAATGAGGGTCCAGGACCCTGGACTCCGTTCGGACCCCCAAACCCAAACCTAGGCACACCCGGAACTTGGAGCTTGAGTTTGGATTGAGAGACCCCAGACCTGGAACCTGGACCCCAAACCTAGGACTGAGAGACCCCAGACCCAGCTTCATTGGGATGTCTGTCCAAGAGGTCCCAGGCACCCTGAGTTCTGGCACCCCCATCCTGCCACCAACCCCCTCCCTGACCTAGACTGGGGAGACTCCAGGCATCCCCAAACCCTTCACCTCAGGCAGGCTGGGAAGCACATGTATCCCCAAGAGACGCAGGGCCCTGAACCCCGACTCCCTGTTGAAATAACCAACCCAGACCCTATGATGCCTGACACATGAGCCCTCAGATTACAGTGAGTCAGGACCTGTCGATAACCTGACCCTGCCTTCATACAATTAACTCCCGGATCTTGAGACCATAGAACCCAGATGCACCCCAAATGGTCCCTGAATGCTCACCTAAAACTTGGGGTACCCATATCTGAGATAGTCTTGTAGCCCCCTAGGACCCTAGAGGCACCAAAAACCCTCTCAAGATGCCCTGAGTCCATAGGTGTGCCCAGACACATGTTCTCTGCCCAAAATGACTTGCAAGACTCATCTCTGAGCCTCCCCGTGTTTTCCCCACCAAGATCTAGATGTCAGACTCCAGGATGCTCTGGGAACCAAGGATCAAAGACCTCTGTAGACCCACTCATCCCAAGCCAGTGTTCCCAGAGCTTTGGATCTCATACATAGATTCTGAGGTGCCTAATACTCCCAGATGTAGTATTGAAGGCCCCCAACCCCTTAGGGCCCAAGGCACTGGTCTCAAGTCCTCAGATAACCCTCTTTCAAAATCTCTTAGACTCGGATTTCAAGCCCCAGAATGGCCTGGAATCTTTGGCTGCTTTGTACCCACAGATCCCCAATCCCCTCAAGGCTGGAAGCTCATCTCCCAGATGATGGGATGTTCATGGCAACACAGGCCTCTCACCCCTTGGCCCCCAGCTCCTGAATGACCCCGAGGTGCTTTGGGAGCACTGGTCCCAAGACCCCAAGGTGCCATTGGTCCCCCAAATTCAGGGCTTAAGCCTACACAACATTGAGATTGTCCCTAACTCAAGACCTTGGTCTGTCCACACCAGAGACAACTGAGGTGCTTCAGGACAGTAGCACCTTCAGATCCCAGATTTCTGTGGACTCAGACCTCTTCAGCCTGATATTTCCTGATACCTGCTGCCCTTGAATCCTGCTGTCCATAAGCTCCTGAAACCCCAAGGTCCCAGACCTCCGAATTTGAACTTTAAGGGCCCCATCCCAAGCCCCCAGCATCTCACAGAACTACTCCTTTACTACGGTAAAAACAAAAAACAAACCCCATCATCTTGAGCTCATGTTTCTGGGTTCCAGGAGCATCCCAGAACTCCACGTCCATCTCTAGGACCCAGCATTGTCATAGATGACGGTGCAAACTGTTTGCTAAGCAAAGACACACAGTCAAGATGGGGGTGGCTGGAATGCACACCACACTCTGCTGGCTGCACAGTGCACAGAGTGGACACACACACACACACACACACACACTCACTCCCTTTGCACTCTACCCCAAGGCCAACCTTAAGCCCCAGCCCTAGTCCAAGCTTTTTATGTTCTGCCCTGTTAACCCCTTCCCTTCCATCTCAGAGTTGGGGGTAGCTTTGTGAAGCTTGAAAGCCGGTTTCATGGCCCTCTGTGATGCCACAGTCTCTTTTCCCTGAGTGGAATGGGACTTTCAGGGTACCTCAGATATGATGATGGCCTGAAGATGGCCTTCAGATGGCCTGAAGCAGAGGATCAAGGTCTTGGGAACAAGACAATTTCAATGCTGTATGGGCTTGGGACCTGCCTGTGGTCCCAAGCATCTGGAAATGTGCATTTACCTTTCTTCATTACTCAGACTTGGATGGCCTTGTAGGGGTTTCAAGGGATAGGTCAAGGGGGTCAGAGGGCTAGATCCTTCTGTCACTTCCTTTAAATTATTAACTATTTATTACATCCGGAACCTGTGAGATTCCGCTCTCCCAACCAGACCCTGGGATGGGTGAGAGAAAAGGGGGATGTCCCTCCTATCCCCACTCTGCCCAGCTCTTGTCACTGGCAGACCCACCAGAGCTGAGGGCGGAGGGACCGGGGGCTGGGGCGGCCTGGGTCCCCATCCCCTTCTCTGTGCCTCGGTCTCCTCCCTTCCGTGGTGGGCGGGGGGAAGCTCCATTCTTAACCTACCTCGTTTTGGGGAGGGGTGGGACGGGGACCAGAGTGCTGTAAGGTGCTGTGGGATCTGCGGATGAAGCGGTGGGAGTTGGGGAAGTTTCCCCCAGCCCCCACCTCCCAGCACCGCCTCTCCCAGGTCTCCCAGTCCTGCTCCCTGCTGATACCCACCTCTGATCCATGATTACTCTTCATCACCCCCAAATCAGGGGTGTATGGAGGGCTGACCCTGGGAGCCAGGAAGACCTCAGACCCTGGAGCCCCCAGGCCCAATTTCCCAGCTGCTTGCCCCTCAGATTGGATGCTTGGCCCCCAGATTTGGGGGAGGCACCCCGACATTTATCTTCCTGATCTTGATTCCAAGCCAGTCTGTGACCTCAATATTGTTATCATCAGTGCAGGCTGCCATGGCGGGGGAGGATGGGAGCCAAAGACCCAGCCTTGTCATTGGGGAGGGGGCATGAGTTATTCGCTCCAAGAAATGTCTGTGACAAAGTCTCAGCCTGTGTCCTTTATTTGCATTGATGCACCCCATCCACTCACCTTCCTGAACCACCAAACCAGTCGCTTACCAGATTTGTCCTTTCTCCTTCACATCCTTTAGTCCCAAGCAGACCCTCCGGCTGAGTTTTATACATTTAGTCACTCAAGTACACTGACCGAACATCCGTCATATGCCAGGCTCTGTTCTCAGCACCAAGGACAAGGCATCGAACAGAACAGACAAAAATCCTTCCCCACGAGCAGCTTATGAACTTTACAGTGGAGACAATAAATGACATGTTAGAAATGGTATGCGCTGTAGAGAAAAGTAAAGTGGAGATGGGGGATACAGTCATTTCTAGTCAGGGTCACCAGGGAGCTGGCATTTGAATAAAGCCTTGAAGGAGGTGAGGGAGTCCTGTGGATGTCTGTAGGAAGAACATTCTAGGTAAAGGGGTGTGTCTAGCATGTCTAGGTAAGTCTGAGGGACTTCAAGGGAGGGAGTGTCTGGAGGGGACAAAGCGGGGAGGAAGGTATTTAGGGGATGAGGGGGGAGAGGAGACACGGCACATCTGTGGGTCCTTGAGAGCCATTGCATGGATGTTGCTGGTCACCCTGAGTGAGCTGGAGTTACTGCAAGGCTCCAAGCATGGGAGGGCTGTGACCTGACTCAGGTGTTTACATACTACCTCTGATTGCCCATGGGGAACAGACAGTTGGGGGTGGGTGGCTGGGGAGGGAGCAGGGAGAAGACTGCTGTGATCCTCCAGGGGGAGGACAAGGGTACAGGAGATCAGGGTGAGAACAGTGGGGGCAGGGAGAAGTGGGCAAGGTAATTAATCCATTTTGAAGGTAGAATCCGCAAATGTAGATGAAGAGCTTGCAAAGAAGAAAAGAATCAAGGCTGCGATTCCACGGTTTTGACTTGAGCAATTTTTAATGTTTTATTAAGGTCAACAAAGGTACCAGTACCCAGCCTTGGGGTAGGTAGTACTATAGAGAATTATAATTTTAACAACAGCAACCAAAACAGTAACAGTATAACAGTACTAGGTTAAGTGATTAAAAGCATGGACTTTGGAGTCAGATGTGAATTTGAGTCCTAGCACCACCACACATTCACTCTGATTTAGCCTGTCTGAACCTCCGTTTCTCCTCCCTAAAACGGATCTAAGATACTTAGCCTAGTAGCACAAAATGTTCAACATATGGTTTAACTGAGTACCCCTATATATCTTCTAAACATTTACATACAGGACTGTCATCCTCACAACTCTTAAAAGGTAAGTTTTATTCCCATTCTACAGATGGGAAGCAATTTGGCGGGGACACAGAGGTGGGGAGTGGTAGAATCAAGCCCTAACCCTTGTGTGCCTGACTCCCAGGGAGCATTCTCTTTATCACGACAGTATATTGCACCTGTTACCTCTCCAAGACCTAGGGAGAAAGAGGGGTGAAGGCTCCACTGATGCATTGTGATCGATGAGGAGGGCGGGTGTGTGTGAGGGGGCGAGCCGGGCTTCCTGAGTCCCTGACGTAATTCCAACCCTACGCTGGAAAGGAGGAAATAAGTTAATGCACTTGGAGCGGAGTTCGGAGAACACTAGAATCTGCCTCAAGAGCAGAGGGCATCTGAGCGAGACTGAGAAAAAAAAAAAAAAAAAAGCTGTTTCTAAGTCGCTGCAATAGCGACACCCGCTGGTCTGTCGCGACAGCTGGGATCCTGAATGCACGCGCGGATTTACAGACCCGGGGCTTTTCCACGGTCTAGACTGGGTTACCGGAACCACCGCGCTCTAGCTCAACGCGCCTGCTGACCTGGGGGCGGGCTCTGCGGCCGCCTGCACCAATCGGAACGCCGAAGGCCCTTAGGGGCTGATTGGTCGGAGCCTGCAGGGCGCCGACCGCGCACGCCGCTCCTGGGGCGGGGCCTCCCGCCGGCCGGCAGGGGGCGCGCGCCTGGCGAGGAGGCTACGCTTTCATGGAGGGGGCGGAGGCGGAAGCGCGGGAGGGGGCCTCAGTGGCCCGGGACCTGCTGGCCTTGGGGTAAGGGGAATGGTGTGTGGTAAGGGGGGGGTGGAGGCGAGGATACGGGAAGGGACAGGTTTGCCCTCAGAAATTGCTCTGAGGGCCTTCCCAACCCCCTCCTGCTGCCTCGTCCTGCCACAGGTATGAGGGCTTCTCGGGGGCGCCGTCTCTGGGCCCCTCGTGTCCAAACTTCAGGGCGCTGTGCGCGCGGCTGGCGGCGGAGCTGGCGTCTCTGGGCGCCCTGGAGCGGGAGAGAGGAGAGAGCGCGGAGGCGCTGAGGGCCGGCGACGGTACGTGTGGAGCGGGCTGCCCGGAGGGGTGGGGTTGCGGGGGTCGCCGCCGCGGCCTGACTTCTCCGGCCTCCTGCAGGCCCCGACGCGGAGGAGGAATTCCTGCGACAGTTGCCCGGCCTGCTGCAGGAGTTGCATTGCCCAGACCGCGCGCTCTGCGGCGGAGAGGGCGCGGCGGCGCTGCGGGATCCCAGCGCGTGCCTTCGTCTGCTGCGTGAGCCGGGGATGCGGAAGTGGGCGAGGCTACTTGGCTCTCTTGCCTCCGGAGGGGCGGGCTCAGCACAGCCGAGCGGAGCCAGGGTTCGCCCCCTCCAGGGGGGCGTGGTTAGAATTGAGGGGGGCGAGAGGGTTCGAGGTGGATGGGGTTCGAATTTTGGCCCAAGTGTCTGGAAGCTCGAGTGGGTTGGATTTGATGTAGCCGGCCAGGTGGTCCTGATGTGGGCGGGGTTCGCAGTCCGAGCGGGGGACTGGAGCTCCGAATGGGGGACTGGGGCTCCGAGTGGGTGGAGCTCATCCTGGAGGTGCTGCCAGGGTTCTAGGTGGGCGGAACTAGAAGGCCTGAGGATTGGAAGCCTGGAGGTTTTGAACCAGCTGGAGCTTTTTGACCCGGGTCGGTGGGACGGCAGCCCTCCTTGATTGCAACACTTCCTTTCCCTTTTAGGCTTTCTCTGCTCGGAGCTCCAGGCTGCCCGCCTCCTCTGTCTGTATCGCCGGCTGGATCCCAGCCCCGCACCGCCCTGTGGGGAGGGGGTAGAGGAGGGAGCTGGCATGGTTCAGGAACTGGTCCTTACCCTCCGAGCTCTGGGGCTGCCCAGGCCGAAGCCTGGGACCGCCGCCAGCCGGCTGCTGTGGGAGTTACACGACAAGGTAGAGAGCTGGAGGTCCCTTCCGTACTGGGGCCACACCACTTTCGTTGTAGGGGTAGAGTCCTTCTCGAAAATTCGTTCTGGCCGGAGTGCCCCAGCCACGGGGATGTTTTTCTAGAGCTGTGACCACCATTATTGATTCCAAGGCCTGGGTCCTGAGGGCCATGGGGAACTGGAATCCACGGAAAGTACATCTGGTTTCTGCCTGGTCAACCTCAGACTCCCTTCTCCCGTCAGATCTCTGAGCTGCTGCCTTCCCTGCCCCCAGGGTGCCTGCAGCCCCTCCTCAGCTTCCCCCTGGATGCACCCAGATGGGTAAGACCGTGTATGACTGTATACCAACAGCATCCTTCTCTGGAGATGGGAGTGAGACCCATCTCATGACTGAGACCTTTTCCCCAGGAGGCACTGGAGTCTCTGTGCCAAAGGTTGGGAGACCAGTACTGCTGCCGCCGCTGCCTGCTCCTGAAACGCCTGGACCTCACAACATCGTCTTTCCACTGGAGTGATCGGGCAGAGGTGTGGGAAAAGGACTTGGATAGGAACAGGAAGCCCAGTTGTGGGGGCTACCACTACAGGAAGGAAGAACGAGGGCCAGGAATATGATCTTATAGCAATTTCTTAGAATCTGGTAAGGTTTGGGGCTCTAGAATTTCAGGGCCTCCAGGAAATTCTAGAATTTAGAGGCCCAGGGCATTCTAGAATTCCCAGCTCCGAGCTGGGAGTGTCTTGAGAGCTATACTTCATATTTAGGAATGTGGGAGGTGAGGCCCTAAGCAGAGAGAGAGAGATGCTTGCAAAGGGACAGATCCCACCTGGGGAGGGCTCTTGGCCACCATCTCCATGCCCCCCTCCCCAGGCCCAAGGAGAAGCCATGAAGGCAGTGCTGATCCCAATTCGAGAGGCTCTGACCCCAGAATCAGATGTCTCCATCGCACACGTCCTGGCTGCCCGAGCAGACCTGTCTCGTCTTGTCCCAGCCACCAGCAAGGCCGCCCGCCGAGGGACCTGCTGTGCCATCAACAAGGTGGGTGCCTAGGAGTGGGGAAGGGCCCCCACATCCTTGGCCTTCAAACTTGGCTCTCTGGTCCCCTTGTTCATTTTTCTTCCCTGAAACTCAAGTCTCATCAACTCACAGGTGCTTATGGGCAATGTGCCAGACCGGGGGGGGCCGTCCAAATGAGCTGGAGGCTCCCATGCCCAGCTGGCAGAGCAGAAGAGAGGACGGAGGTGGGCGAAAAGCAGGCCACCAGAACTGGGGTCGCAAGAAGAAGAAGAAATAAAGGGGGACTGGTGGTTGGGTGGGGGGATCCTTTGTGACATGCCATTGGTAATCCTTGGGAGTCACTTTGAGTTTTTCTTGGCATCTGACTTCCAGGCCCCACATCTCCTGCTCCTAAGGTCCCACATGTCCTCCCCACATCCCCCACTCCACAACAAGGACCGTGTTCTCTGGAAAATAAATTTAATTGATGACAGCTGTAGGACTTATCTCTTGCGGGGCGCAGGTCTGGGGTGCTCAGATTTGGGGAGGGGTAGGGATGTGTTTGTCCCCTGGGTCTCAGCAGGCCCCTATTGCTCTGATCCTCACAGTCCTCTGCTCTTTAGCTACACGTTTTTCCCTTCCTGGGGGCCTGGGGGCGCGGGGAAGGAGACATGTAGGCATTGAACAAAGACTTCTCAGGTACCTGCCATGTGCCATGCCCTGTTCTCAACACTAGGGATACATCAGTGAAAAAATACAGATTATAAAACCCCTGCTTTTCTGGAGTTGACAGTTTCTGGTGAAGAGGAGCAGACATTCAACAAGATAAATAGATAAGAAGGATAGTTAGATGGTTAAGGACTTTGGAGAAAAGGCAAGAGCAGGACTGCAGGGTGGATTGCAACTTTGAGTATGGTCGGAAGGGCCACTCTCAGAAGGCGACATTAGACCTAAGTCCCAAAGAGGGAGCCTTGTGGGCCTCTGGAAGAGCATTCTAGGCAGAGAGAATTGCCAGTGCAAAGGCCCTGAGGTAGGAGTATTTTTAGCATGTTCAGGGACCACAGAGGCCAGTGTAGCTGAAGCAGGATGAGTAAGGGGGTAGGTAAGTGGTGGTAGGTGAGGTCCGAGAGGTGATGGAACAGATTGTGGGAGGTGGGCCACAGCAAGGGCTCTGGCTTTTTCCCTGAGTGAGAGGGAGACATGGAAGGGCTCTGAGCAGAGGAGGGACTCAGGTGTTCACATGCTCCCTGTTCCACCTCTACTCTAGCCTTCTCTCCTATCTCTGGAACCCCAGAGTTAGGAATATAAGTGCCCGGCCTGACCCGTGCTGACTGTCAGTGTAGCATACTGGTGAGGAGCTTTCTTCTCTGAGGACTTGAGTCCTGCCTCCAATACTTAGGGGCTCTGCCACTTTGGAAAGCAGCTTAACCTCCCTGGGCCTCAGCTTCCTCATCTGTAAAATGGAGATGTAAGGAGGTGGTGGGGTAATACCTAAGTCTACACATATCCAACCTTGAGATCATACAGATAAGAAGTGCGGGGAAACGGGAGTATAGGTTGTGGCCACTCTGAGGCAAAGGAAGAAAATCACTTTCCCAAGGAAGAGATGATGAACTCTTTACCGAAGGTGGTGTGGCTGGGAAAGCGGCGGTGCCTTTGGGGGTCCTGCCAGAGGCCGAATAACAGGACTTGGGACTGACTCTGGAGAAAGGTGAGACACAGCAAACCCAAGCGGGGGCTAGGAATTCAGCTTGGAGGACTGGGAAGGCGGCGAGGCGGTCGTTGGGAGGGGCACCTGGAAGGAGGAAGACACTGGGTCACGGGGCGGTGGCGGGGGGGGTGGCGTCTAGGAGTCTGGGCACTGCCAGGAACAGGCAGAGCTTCTCCCCGACTTTGTTTAGGAGATGAATAAAAACTTCTCCGGGTGTTCTGGTTTTTGAACTCAATCCGAAGGTCTCTACCTTCACAGAGTAAGATTTCCTCCACTGACACCAGTTACAATTCCTGGTGTGTTTGGCTTCTTCTTTGCCTTTTTCTTCTTTTTCTGTTTTTCTCCTTAAAATCCTTTTTCTGTTCTACTACTGGCTACCTGCTACTCCAACATACTGAAAATTTTATTTTTCAATCAACATTAGAAATGAACCACGATCTGTACCCTCCTGCCCATACAATTCAGGACTCTTGCATCTTTTTACTTTCCTATGCTTCCCCAAATCAGCTTGGATTTCCCCCCAAGCAAATGGCTCTCCCCTGTATCCAGGTGACTGTGCGGGGCAGTTCCTCCTTACTGTCTCTGCTTCCAGGTGCGGGGGCTCTGTCTGCGTCCACGCATGGCAAAGGTGGCACCCTGTCTCAGGTTCCAGGGATAGTGTGTAGGAGAGACTGTCTTCTGAGCCTGTTTGTAGGGTGATAGATGAGAGGGATGTGGGTATGATGGGAAAGGCCTCATGACCTTGGACTTACAGCCCCATCCATTATGCCCCCTTCCCAGGGCAGCCACATCCTGGGTCTTACCGCAGCTGGCATGGGGAACTGGTGTGGGTGGGATGGGGGCTGCAGGGGGGCTCACATCGCCCTTGGCCACTGGCCTCTTCTTACACTCCACCTTCACGCGGTCCCTGCAGTGTTTGTGGCAACACAGCCCACAGTCTGGGGGAAGGTCAGCAGTTAGCGGGCAGAGGCCCAGCCTGGGCACCCCCTTCATCTGGCCTGTAGGTGCTGGCCTTCCTTCCCACCGCTGAGGCCTCACTCACCCCGACAGCGGTAGCCTTGCTTGGTGACGCCCCAGAGCTGGGAAGAGAAAGCAGAATTGGTGACATAGGCTGTGGGGGAAGAGGGCTGTGGATGGGGCTGGGGTTGGTCTCTGGGAGTGTGGAGACTGTCTGGGAAATTCTCAAGGTTGGAGGCTTAAGTGGGGACTAAAGGAATTTGGGGTTGTAAGTTTGGGGAATCACCTGGGATATTAGATAAAATCTGGAATTAATGAGCCATGAGTTTTATGGGCAGGGATGGTGTCTGTTGTGTCTTCTGCTGTGTGCCCCCCTCCACAGCCCTCAAGTCTAGAACAATCTGGCACGCAGGAGGTATTCCGTGAATAGGAAGTGAATGAAAACGTGGGTTTGGGAAATAATCCAAGGTTTGTGAATTAGTCTTGGTTTGGAGATTGAGAGATCAGTCTGTTATCCAGAGTTTGAGGATGCCTTGAATTTGAAAATTATCCAGGGTTTGAATTCTCTGGAGTCTAAAGACTTAGAAAGGGATTCTGCTTGGAGATGGTCCACCCAGGTCTGTGGAATTATCTAGGGTTTGGGATATTCATAGTTTGGCAGTGATCCAGGATGGAGATCATCTGGGATTTCGGCTTTATCTAGACTCTGGGCATATTCAGTGTTTAGGGTTTATATGAGATGTGGGGATTATTTGAGACTGGGGAATTTTCTGGAATTTGGTGACCATCTGGGGCTTGGGGCCTGGGAGCCCTCTAGGGCAGGGCTGGCTTTCGGAACCCGGGCTGTGAGGAGTCAGGACCTGGGACTCTCTGGGAAAGATGGGCCGCAAGGCCGATAGAGGGGCAGCGTACTCACAAAGCCATTGCAGCTGTCACAGAAGGTGGGCTTGCGGAAGGTGACCTCCTGGAAGGTGTGCAGGAAGGCCAGGCCCAGCTTGGAGCAGATGGCGCTGGCCCGGAGCAGGTAGCCGGTCAGCTCTTCTCGGCTGTAGGAGCCATTCCTAGGGGCAGAGGTTGTACCTCAGCGTGACTGGTCCCTTTCTCCCAGGAGTCCTGGCAGCCCCAGTGTCCTCATCTTTGGGGGACCTAGAAGTCAGGAGTACTTACCCCTGGTGGGGGGGTGGGTGAAGCCCATGGCAGGCGAAGGGGAAGTTGCCTGAAAGTCGCTCAAAGTCCTCCTGAGAGATGGTTCCTCGGCCTTCAGGGTCGTAATTCTTGAACACAGACTTCAGAGGAGTATGGAAAAGAGTAAGGCCAAACCGTGATCCTCCTGGTCTTGGATCTCTTCTGGGTCAGGACTGTACAGATGCCTTCCTTCCTGGCCCCCAGTGGCCAGGCCACAGTCCCCTCCTTACCTCCACTAGCTGCTCTACGTGCCGACCCAGGGTGGCCCTGTCGGGCTTAGGTGTCACGCCAGGGGCCCACTCCACCACCAGGGGTGCTTTGAAGGGGGAGGGTGGCTGGGGCAGGGACAGAGGGGAACAGTTAGTCAGTGCGTGGGCTTGGGCTGGTGGGCAGGGGGCAGGGGTCAGTTCTTACCAGACTCTTGAGACAGCGGGGCTCCCGGGCGTAAGAAAGCTCATAGATCTCATCCTCCGTGTAGAAGAGATCCAGGGAAAGCTGTGGGGTGGGAGGCGGGGAAGGGCGTTACCGATCCTTGTCTCCATCCTCCTACCTATGGCCTGTGCCTTGCCTGGATCCTCATTTGTATCCTCTTCCCAAAGCCCCTCTTTTCTGGGGATTCCTAGGCTCCCCTCTCCCACCGAGGTCCCGGTCCATCTCCACACCCCCTTTTCCTAGGTCTAGAAATGCCATCTTCTCACTGAGGCTTATTTTGGGTCCTGTTTAAACTTGTAAACCCCTATGACTTTCCTTGCTGGTTTCTACTTTAGTTTTCACTATTAGCACTTATCCTCTGAAAGGCCATATGATTTACTCATTTACTTTGTTTTATTGGCTGTCTCTCCTACTGGGAAGTCAGCCCCACAAGAACAACAGTTTTTTTTCCCCTGATGTGCTAAGCAGTGTCTGGCTCACAGCAGGTGCTCGATAAATATTTGGGCTCGATGGCCTTCTAGAATCAGCAGAACACAGAGCTTTGGGCACCAGTCATCTTAGGGCAAGACCAACTTCACAAGCAGGCCCCACATTCGGAAGGGCCCCACTTCACTTAATCCCCTGCTGTCACCATCCTGAAATTCTGAAGAATTTTGAGTAAGGAGCCCCATATTTCATTTTGCACGGGGTACTGCGAATTACATAGCTGGTCCTGTCTTGGGGTCTGAAAATCAGTCTTAGACTCCATGGCCTTCAGAATCCCAGTCTCTCTCAATTTCTAGATTCATGAGCAGAGAATACATATATAAAATTATATAAATAGAATGCAGCCAGAACCACACACTCCCAGTCTGAAGATGTAGTGTGGTGGTTAGCATATGGTAACACACAGGTTCTGAGGCTGACCTGCTTGGGTTCGAATCCAGGTCTTACTGCTGTGGGACAGCAGATCAGTGACTTCACCTTGTGGACCTCAGTTTCCCAATCTGTAGAATGGGCATGACAAGGACTCGGACCCTCCTGCACCCAGGACCCTAAGTCTGCAGAGCCTGCAGGTGCGGTCTCTGGGCCCCCAGCCTGGGCGGGGCCAGGCAGCTCACCGTGAGCAGGTGCAGCAGGTCCTCGCTGGCGCTGCACGGGGGGTGCTGCCTCTGGAGGGCAGCAAGCTCCTGCAGCCGCAAGTAGAGGTTGTTGAGTTTGGGTAGGTG